AACGATTAGAGGCCCTCGAACGAAAGTGAAGCGCAGATCGTATCTCGGACTTTTGAATCACTTTATTTTGGCTTGATTTCCGGTTGATCGGCTCGGATTAGCCCTTTCTCAAGCAGACAACGCTATCATGTATTCCACTGACTTCAGTACAATCTGTTGTTCAAATTTATCAACCTTATTGGCCGGTCCCAGCCGCGATTCAAATCGCCTCAAAACCGTTCGAGATTTGTTGATGCGGCGAGTTTATGCAAAATCCTCTGTTCCCTCTACGAACTGGGGTCTATGATAACCTCACTGTTTGGCAAAAAAGGTTAAAAATTAAAACTATGCGTTATCTAATGGCTGATATGCTTAACTGGTGCTTTTCAGTTCGAAATACTTAGATTCCTAGCTTTTGATCTTTCTGTGGACTGAAACAAACTTGCTCTACACACGACGAAATTGACTCAAATCCTCCGTTACCCTAATGCAACAAATGAGAAAATGCGATGTTTACACGCCAGGTTAAAAAATATACGGGAACTTCACTTCTGTTCCCAAACATACTTGTCCTCTCATTTATCATTCCCAGTTTAAAACGCACGTTATCAATTCTCAAAACGCCTTTCTTTTGCACTTGATGAACACCGAGACATCGTCCAATCGAGGCGCGCCTTTAGATGGTAGATGGTTGTCCAAAGTAATCTTCACCGGTAGTCCCATTCGGTCCACAGTTCTTCAATATCATAAGGAAATTCGTCTTGTATAGAGCAAATGAAGCTTGAAGTGAAAAGCTAGGAAGCATTGGGTTTACTCCCCATTTGGGTCGACCGATTCGTACTGCTGATGAGACCCATCCAGGTCGAAACAGCTGTTCAGTTCTTCCCAGTTTTTTAGTTCACGCTTCATTTGCCATACATACGATGAATTCTCCCTTCGAAATTGAATCAAATCCTCCGTTACACTCACATGAAAGGATAAATTAGTTCAAAGCGCTTTCTCTGATAAAAGTTACGAACTTGTGTCTCCGCTCAGCACTTCGATGTGATCCGTAATCAAGTTCGTTTTTGATTAGCTAACACAAAAAATATCAATAGTCCATCTAACCGCCGCGTTTAATGATGCTAAAACCCCTTGCAGTTAGTTAGTTTGAAAAAAAAACGAACGGTAATATTTAGTTTTCAACTCTGTGAATAACATGCACAAGGCTCATTTATTAGCTGGCAATAATGAGCACAACTTCACATCTTTCTTTTATTTACTCTTACTTTGCGAAATCCATTGATTATGCAACAAATTGACCTCAACGAAGTCTCTCATACATTCCAGTGTTTCCGTTTGTGAATAGCCAGAAATAGTTTCTCCATTGAAGTGGTTGAATTGGTTGACTTCGTATGTAGTTGTGGACAATTTAGGGTTTATTGGAATTTATGAAGCACGAATTATTGCAATCACTTTCAAGGATGCATGTGCAACTCTGTGCTTACAGAGTTGTTTTGAAAAACTACCCTTCATCTCATGATCTCAATGACCAGTGGCTTATTTTTGGGACCAAACAAAAGCGGATGATTACGGATTATCACATCCTTAGAAGGTTTGTTTCGATTCGATCCTTCTGTTGTTCCACAAATCTGACTAGAGTTTCTTCAGCAACGTCGCGGTTATCTTATGCATCACTCGCCGTTAAATATTGTCCTCCGGAACCGGGGTTGTCAACCGCATCTAGAGCTTCATAGTTTGTTGACTCTGCTGGGGCGGGTTAGAAATCATTATAACGAGGGAAATAGGTTCGTGATTTACTAGTGGGCTGGATACCGCCTAGTTCCACGATTTGTTCGTGAGTGGAATAATACCAGATTGTCCGGGCCAGGCCAGGTCAGGGCAGATGCATTTTCTTGAGAAATTCACAATCGGATACTTCTGCTAGCCATAAGCCTGATTTGCCAAGTAGCGAAGCGGCATGTGAAACCCCCATCCATTGTGAACTGGTGTGCAGTTCGTCGGATCATACGCCCTTTGAACGGTGTCAAACGTCCAAAAAGTCCAACGGAACCGGTAATCACGTCCACAACCACGAAGGTGTGTGTGCTGTATGTAAGCCCCAATCGCAGGTTTTAGCCAACTCCCTAAAGTGAACTGCCAG